TCGTGATTGGAGGCTAGCAACCGCGCGGTTCTCTCCTCGGCTGACTTCCTTGAATAAGACGCCCTTCAATTTTTAGCCTAAGGATTTTAGAAAAAAGTATCATCTTATAGTCGGAAAAATACGGTACACACACACGTACACACACTGTAAGTCACGTTGATAATTCTTTGTGAAATGAAATCTTCTTCTCTTTCACCATCAACATGATCTTCAAATGGGCTTGCAGTAATGTGTGTGCCTTTCTTAAAAATTCCATTTTAAAACTATCTAAAATAAGCATGACCAAGGATCTCAGATCTTCTCTCCTTAATTATGATACATCAAAAATGCAACTTTCAGTAGCAGTAAAAACTTATTTTATAGTGTTTTTTTCAGGTGGTCATAGCAATCACAGATTCTCTGAGTTGTTAAATACTAGAAGGAATGAAAATGACATATGATAAAACGGATTGTGAAATTAACTAGACAGTGGGCAGGACAAAGCTTTCTGATCTCTCTTTCACTCAAAGACTGAAAAGGAAAGGGTTAATTTGTTTTTTAAAATCTACAAAGTACAAGAAGAAAAGACATGATGTTTTGAACTTATGCAATCTGCAATTTCATGAACTAAACAAGCATACATGGCAACTCATACATTTCTTACATTCGAAACCTAGCAGCAGGGATCTAAATTAGGTTGCAGCACTGCATGTGTCAATGGGGGTCATTGCTGTAGATGAGGCAGCAGTAGGGGCACAGACAGTGACAGCATGGAGGCAAGCAGCCCGGGATTGCTGCTGGAGATTGCGAGATTGTCAGAGCCTGACAGTTCTTCAGAGGAAAAGGAAGAATTCAACAGCTAGTTCCGAAGAACCAGACCAAACCAGCTAGAGAACACCTTGGCATAGCAGATACTACATCATCCTGTTTTTCATATCCTTGCTAGCAGCAACTTCATTCTGAAGCAATTCTGCTACCATGACTCGTCACACGTGGAAGTGGTTCTGCTTTGGATCCAGCCTCAGCTCCTGCACACCACTGCACCATTTAATTGTATGTAATTATATAACTACTTACTAAAGCTTTTTAGGAAGTAGTTTCCAGTATAACACAGTTGATTCAGACTGTCCTGAATCCATTGCAATATTGGTTAAATCATGGGCTAGGACTTTTATTTGGTGATGTTATACTATGAGGATCGTAGCCTTCTGGATTCTGCTTTCTAGTCTTTTAATATATTTTCTGTCAGCAGTAACTGCTAAAATAAATCCCTGCGTTGTGGAAAATGTTTCACTATTTTTATTACACCTGTTCATACTGTTCTCCGCAACTATTAAATTCCTCATTTAAAAGGCTCTCTCTGCTCTGCCTAATTAAAAAACTTATTTCAATTCAGTTTATTGTAGAAGAGATAGAAGTTATCATTCAATGTAAAAAAAAAAGTATAAATCTTTGATAAAATATACCTACTGCCTGTGAGTTTTTTAGAATTGCACAGAAGTTACTTAAAAAGCAGGTGATGGGATGTATTGATTTGATAACAGCAGCAAAGATATAATAGCAACAAAATGCTAACCTCATGCTAACTGCTAATCTTTGTTCAATTTTACAAAAAAAATTAAATAAATAAGTATAAATTCTGCTTTGTTACCAGGAAAATCAACATAGACCTCAGAAACTCAATATTATTTCATATCTCATACATATTTCACCTCTATCCCCACAGAAACACATTTATTCCCACATACACACACCTCATCAAGATAATCCACAAAGCATGTCCCTTTTTAGTGTGACTTGCACTAAAAGCTAGCATAAAGCTTGGTACTTTGTACTTGCCATTTTTTCTATTGTTTTCAAAGCTTGCTATATAGTTTATGACTGAATGCTAAAATAGCTCAGTTTCTGCAGGTTGTGAAACAGACTACATAAACATAACAATGTGAAAAATTAAAAGTAAATATTTAATTTCCTTCCAGCCACTTACATGATGGAGAGACGTGTTTAAGTTTTACATACTGTACAGCACTGTATCAGAAAAACACCACATATGAGATTATTCTAATTTTTTCTTATAATTTACCTGTCCCCTTATTTTCTTGAGAGTTCTAAATGAAGGTCATATATCAACAGTAAAATAATGTCTAAACTTGCTTAGACAAAATGGATTGCTCAGTGTTTTCATAAGTTGCTGCAGTAGTTTCCATTTCTC